ATGCAAAAAATTCAGCATGCTTTGTGCAACACAGTAAATAGCTAACGACCCTGCTTCGAGACAGTATTTATCTCTATTCACAAGGCGCATCGATCAAATTCCAATTGTGTCTTGGCACGAAACATTCAAAAGAGCGGAAGTTGTCGACAGCCCACTTGCAGCCTCAGTTTCGAGATGCACCTGTGTTTTTCACCGCCTCCGCCAGTAGACTTTGAGCTCGTTTCCAGTCCTTATTCCTGTAACCAGGTCAAGACCAGATTGACGTAATTTGTTATGAATACAGAAGTTATTAGTTTTAAGTAGCCCTCGGGTCATTACGCAAGATTTGCCATATTGATATGCTAATGAAAAAAAAATTAATTTTGAACGGATAACACAATAGAAATAAATCCTAAAGCCGCTTAAGGCGATCAAATGTGTTGATGCCACAAGTTTTGCATAATCGTTGGTACGGATCGAACACAGTGTTATCTGGAACTTTGGACATTCAACTACGACGATCTGCTTCATTCCTGATATCCTTATGAAGACAAATTTGAGATTGGAACAACAGATACGTCAAAATAAATGAATGAATGAATGAATGAATTTTCCTGCGAAAGTGGTCAAATAAACTGATGCCACCAGTTTTGCATACACCACAAGAAGTGTAACAGCTTCTGGCGATCCCGACAAAATCAACCTAGCTTTTGTGATAGCAATACCACATTAAGCGAACCTTTGTAAGTAATAATGAAACACAAAGGTATAGTTGACGGGATTTCCGCGGCTAAATTCCAGTCTCTTTTATTCTTTCACTACGCCAGAAAAATAAAGAATCGAAAAAATAAATAAATAAATAAAAAATCAAGATAAAAAAAATGATCTCAAAAATAAAAGTAATCCATCGGTGGTAATTAAATGTCAATCAACAGTGAGACGAAAGCGCGCCTTCGTTTCTTCGCGCTGACAGTTGGTCGAACGAACGTTCGGCCTCACCAAACACGAAATGTTATTCAAAACCTGAACGGGAGGCGTTTTGTCGACGCAGTGGCAGATTCATTCTTAACGCGTTAGAATTTCACCCTTGTGTGAAATCAGTTTTTTGTGTGTGTGTGTGTGTGTGTGTGTAAAATTTCACTTGTTAAATCTCTCCGAGTGCTGAGAAAATAATCGGAAAACTAACAAATTTCAATATAGATCTTGATATTTACGGTTTGAAACTGATATCCGATCGTATTCGGGGATGTAAAAGGTCTGTAGATAAACCTAACATCAATGATTATCTTTATCAAATCTATCCTAGAGAAAAAGGAATTGCTTAAGCCTCGCATTTGAGGTTCTGTCCTCGTGTACCGGTTCACAAGAGCCAATACAAAAGACCAAACAATACACAATAGCTAACCAATAACTCCTAAACAAAGAAAGAACAATGGTAATTCCCTTGTGAACCGGTACACCAGGACAGAACCGCATTTGAGATGTCTTCCTGAAAGTGTTTACTTTTCTCAACACCGCATGATTCGGATTGTAACATTCCTCGCTATGCCTTAGTTTAAGCGCGAGAAAATGTACAACGCAGAGGTAT